TGAGCTGGCAGCTAGAAGCTAACAGTGCTAACATAATATGCACTAAATGGCAAACTCAGAAGTTTGTAAGCAAAGCACAGAGAAGCATGGAGAGCGACTTCATTCTGTGCTCAGGTAGACATTACTCCACTTTGCATTACAAATAGTTGTTTGCTGCTATATTGATGCTTGAACATCGTATAGAGAAGATTTAAGAGACTCAGCTGCCATTCTGTGTTTCAATAACAATATGGTTTGTGGTAAAAACAGGACATGTAGTCACATCTGTTCACAGTAACCCTAGCGATCTCTCCCTCTCTCCGTCTCCGTCTCGCTGCATCTCTTTGTCGTGCACTCCAGTGACGTCATAGTTGCCGGGCAACGTGGTGAGCAAAACAGAATCCCTCTCTGCACAGAGGGGAGGCCCCACGCGCTTGATTGGCATGTGCTCCTCTCTCTGTTTCCCTGTCACGTACTCTCAGTATATACATAGAGATCTCCCCCTTTTGTTCCCCTCGGTAGCGTCACTAAACATGTGCAGTGCATTAGCACATGCTACCAGAAGTCACATGCTCTGTATATGTTGTGAAAATTTGGGGGAGGTAACATACTACTGTACAACTTAAAACTAGCATTTTGCGCTTAAATTATGAAGGGTTAGTTTTATAATTTGTTTGCTTATTTATTTGTTTACTTTTGATGTTGTTACAGCTGAAATTATTGTCATTCGAATCGTGTGTGTGTGTGTGTGTGTGTGTGTGTGTGTGTGTGTGTGTGTGTGTGTGTGTGACCTTGTGACCTTACCTAAGAATAATTGATAAGGACAAAAAATTAAGATCCAAATCAAAACAGCTTCTTTCATCGGGCTGTGAGACTCCTTAATTCATCTCCCCTCCATTTATAATATAGTTTTTGTTGTTGTTGTTTGTTTTCTTCTCAATGTAGCAAATTGGGACTACAAACTAAATTTCGTTATGCAACACTGTCGTACAATGACGAATAAAAACCTTGTAACCATGTAACTTTTTTTTTCAAATGCTAAATATTTAAATTTGACTACTTTTAGGCCACTAAATAAATCAAGAATTTTACTCCATGAGGCGTTGAAGCAGCATTTACCATTTTATGTTGGGGATTAAAATGTACCCACAATATAATATATCAAATCATCAATGAACCAGATGATTCAAATCTTTACATCTTGTTGTTATAAGTTGTGAAAATGCTTAAAATATCTAAAATATATGTTTATATCATGATGCAAATGAAGCTTGTGACCATATAAACAACCGCTGAAAAGACGGAAAAAAATAGAAATGCCGGCAGACGAACGCATCACATCTGCACCACATTCGGATGGAAAAGCCCGACTGTCAGTTAAACTGTTCTGGAACCGTGCCAGCAGGTTGCTATCGCAACCGCATGTTCAACTGAAACCACAGACGAGTCGGGAAGTCAGGAAGTATCGACAGAGAGCTTCAAAACACTGCTGTTTGCTGTTGATTTCTTTACGATAAGAAACGTAGTAAAATAACAAAAAAAACCTTGTTTGAAGATGTTTTTATTCCATCGAGATGTGTTTTGTGACGCCGCTTCATCCCTGTTGTGCTGTTGCGCTGTGCATGTCTACCGTATCATCCTTTCTGTGTCTCTTCAATGCAAACATATATCATGGTTAGGTGAGGTTTGTTCTTTGTTTGTTTTAATTTTGAATATTGTAAGTAAACTTCATCATCAGCGTTTTAATTTCTCCTGAGCAGTCGATATCAGCTAAAAGAAGCATTTTATTTCCTATTTACTGCAGAAAGAACCAAACGTGAGAACTTCCAAAAGTGCATTCTCAATAATTAAATGTCTCCAAATGAATGTTTACTCCTACTGACTCATCTGTAAAGCACAAAGTGCTTCATGGTAGTCTGAACTCTGCAGAGTAAATTAAAACGTTTTTTCTTTCAGTGGAGACCCATTTTCTGAAAAAGAGCCATTTTTTTATTCCCTTGGTGAATTTGAGTTCGTCACCCCTGCTTTTATCTGTTCTCTCTGACTTTAAGCCAATAGTGCCGCCGCTCTATAAGAATGGCAAAATTAAGTCTCTTTATAAGAAGAGCACATCGCAGGTGCAACTTCTGACATAGATGATGGCTCTGTTTCATTCAAATGTCCCAGTGAACCAGCATGAAAGCCAAAGCAGCAACGGACTGAAAGTAGCTCAAATCGGGGTCGCTGCATGGCCCAAGCACGGAGCGTGGACTAGTAGCTGGAGAGGTGTCCGTTTGCCTCCTGGTCACTACCGTGGTGCTCTTGAGCAAGGCACCGAACCCCCAAACTGCTCCCCAGGTGGCTGCCCACTGCTCCTAATACTAAGACGAGTTAAATGCAGAGGCCAGATCTCACTGTGTGCTGTGCTGTGTTGTGTGCACGTGTTGCAATAAAAAAAAAGATTTAACAGGCTCATTGGACAAATGATTGTAAACAAAATCTACGTTTCCATTTCCATTTTCTGGAATAGAAGAAGGCAAGAGAGAGGAAGGATGCCCTCTGTGCTGATAATAAATTCCTGTGTTTTCCACTTCGATGTGTGTTGTTTCAGTTTTCAAGTCTATCAGCAGCCGAAATTAAATGTGTTTTGATGTTACGATACAAATCTAGTGCTCTGGATTGAAAACTATAAATTCTGTCCAGGAGAGTCCAAGCTGCTCCTCGGAGCTCCCGTGCTTCATCTCTAAATCTCTTTTTGTTCATATTTTGCCGTCATCCTCGCTGCCTCTTTCCATCCTCCATCTTCTATCACGTCCACCCTCTCCTTCCTCTGTCTCTGTCTTTAAAATTACTTGGAGATGTTAGATTTTTTTTTTTACGCTATAACTGTTGCTTTTAATACATTTCATATTTTATATTCAGTCCAGAAAATAATAATGATCACCTTCATTTACGTCTGTTTTCTGTCCCCTGTTCGGCGTCTCTCTCTCTCTCTGTCTGCAGGTCAGAGAAGGCGTGTTTTGATGCAGACCTGCTGAGAGACGAGGAGTAGTTCTTGACTGTGACAGACAATCGCAACACATCCTTTTTTTTTTTGTTTTTTGTGTATTTGCCGATCACAGTGACAAATTCAAAACTTGGAGCACCTCGACCTAAGCACTTGAAAAATCCTGCTCGATTGAACATCATCATTTGTTCTGCCTCCTCCTCTTCTCAAGCGGCCTCAGTCGGTTCAACTCTCCATCTCCTGCGTGCTACAGAGGCAGAGATGACACCCCAAAACCTCTTCGCCTCAGCCTTGTTACGCAACCTGACCCGAGGATAACCATCAATCCCCCCGAGCGGCACTCATAAGACCGACGCACTCACAGAGACAGAGCCCCCCCCCCCCCCGGCTCCAGGCAGCATGGGAGACGGGAGCTGGGTTTGTCTGAGCCCAGCTGAGTTCACCCAGCTGCAGCAATACAGCGAGTGTGAGTACCCACGTGTCTGGATCTGGGGAGGGTTCCATGTTTGGTTGGACTGCGGTGTGGATGATGAGCTTTTGTGAGTTTGTGTGTGTGTGTGTGTGTGTGTGTGTGTGTGCATGCATACACAGTATGTGTGTGGGTGTGCAGCTGATGCTGCTGCAAAGCTGTGTTTGCAAAACCAAATAATGTGGTATTCATGCTATAGCCTGCCAAAGTCTTTATGCAACTCACATTCAAAAGACTTGAGGTTTGAGGTCCCAGAAGCCACAAATGGCACTAATAGCACTTATGAAGTACTACTGAACACATGCATTGATAATTCAAATTGTGAATATTTAGCTTTGCCATTTTTCTTTGACAGACACTTTTTGTTTTACTTCCTCATTTTTGAAATGTCTTGTTCCAGATGTGTCTTCAGTCTTCTACATTATAAGCGTATCATTTCCCATGTTCTATATGCATATATGACAGCATTGTAAAACAACTACAGCAGCAGGATTTCAGGCGGGATATTTGGCATCATATCGTTCTTTCATGTTTTATTTTTTTAGAATGGCATTAATTAGCCTGCCGGATGAGCCTCTGCCCTCTCACAACCACATTTGTTAGTCAAAGGAGTGTCTGTCCTGAAGAGTAGAGTATTACTCTCTCACGTGAGCTATTCATTTGAGGCATTACACGATCACGTGAAATCATTGTTTATAGACCCGGATGAGGTAAAACCACAACAGGTCACACAAGATTGTAACATAAATAGAGTAAGTGGTTACCAAAATGATTAATCCTGACTTTGTCTTCTTACATCTTTATGTATGAGTGTGTATGGATCTATACTGTATGTGGGGTCATTTTAAGCCTGCAGGATGTTGCATTATGCAAATGATGTTGTTACCTCGTGCATGAATTCATATTATTTAGGAAAGAAGGCTAGAGCGATTTATTCCCTCCAACAGCAACAATGAGCCAAACTCGAAATTTGGTAAAAGAGAAAATGTCGTAGCGGTGGGACAGGAAGTTAAGAGTTTACCTGCAGTGAATGAATGTCTGTGGAAGAGAAGATCTTTGTTGTAGTTTCTGGAATCGCTCTTTTGTTCGTCCCTTGCCTCCAAGATTACAAACTAAAAGGGCCCTCAGGGAGCTCAGACCTCAGCCAAGGCCAATCCGCTCTGACGTTTAATGGGGTCTTTTTTGGCCCATGCTTCACCCTGTCAGCAAGTTTTATGAAAACCCGGTTCAGTAGTTTTTCTGTGATCATGCTGACAAAACAGACACACAAGACTAACTGGAAACAATACTTAGCTTAGTTTTTCGTTACAGAGCTTTTTGCTGCTCGCTACGTTGCGAGCGTTGCCGCGCTCACAGCGACGAATATCGTGGAGCGATTTGGTAGCTTCCAGTGAGGCTTCTCCAGGAGACCCTACAGAGGAGAGGACACGGAAATATTCTGGTCCCAGATCCTCTCCTCATTCATGTTGCTGTCACCGTGGTGGAGCAGGGTTTTTGGTTTATGAGCCAGGTTGCAGTGGAGACTATAATGGCAACATGATAAACGTGCACACTGGGAAGGCCCCTGCAGGCCGGGAAGGTCTCGTTTTTATTGATGGTGAGGAGTGGAAAGACGGGAAGGCTCGTGTATCACCAGCCAATCAATCAAGGACTTAATGAAGGACACTGGCTGTGTTGGTCTCTGGAGATAGAAATATGCGAGGGAGCAATAGGAACGAGCTAAAGGCCTGGTGTCATTAATAAGCCATAGAATCAAATAGAACTGAAACAATTAGTTCATCAATCGATCACAACCATTTCTGTAATTCATTTATCGTTTCAAGATCTTTTTTTCTCCTCAAATGTCAGGATGTGATGGTTTTCTTTGTGATAGATGAGAGTAAACTTCATATTTGTTGATGAATTGATTAGTCGATTGATTGTTTATTGATTATCATCATTGTGTCATTATCATTATAATCATTTCAGCTTTCCTGTAAATAACTACTATTTGTTTTGTAAAATGAAATAGTAGTGCTGGTGACTCGATCTGACGGTGATTCACGCTCTTCACGCTCTTCCGGCTTGTGAATCTCTAACTAATTCAGCAGACTAGACGGTCTCAGCGGATGTCCTCAATCACATGTCCCTCATCTTACCTGAGATTGGACTCTTCCCTGTGTCTCTCTCTCTGTCTCTCTCTCTCTCTCAGTCCGTCACTGTGGACATCTGATGCAGGACATAAATAGGAAAGCATTACAGGCTCGCAAAGCTGCCAAGCACTACAAATAATGAAGTGCAGTCTCGTCCCCTAGTTGATTATGAGAGCTAACGTGATTGGTGAAATCAGGTCTTAAGCGTTCGCCTGCTTAAGTGTGCGTTGAGATCTTCTCCGTGCACACGTGCACATTTTGTCTCCTGTAGTTGTTTGACAGATGATCGTAGGAGGACGGCGGTGCAGTTTGTGTTCTGTGTGTGTGTGTATGCGTGTGCATATACATGGATATGGGATTAGCATGTTAGCAAGTGAGAAAGACACCATGTCCCCTTTTTACTTTTCACTAACAGGGTGACTCACAGGCTCATCTCCAGTGATGCAGCACTTTCTGGTACAGATGAGTATTTATCAGGACATCCGCTAATGAGATGCAGCATGTTTTTTTTTTTTATCCAGAGGAACATTTCCACTATGATTATAAAGACGGCGTGTACTCTGTGCTTCAAAATGCTCTGCTGTGAGGTTCGTCAGGAGTGGATCAAAGCAAAATGCATTTCAGTAAATGTGATGACACATTTTTTTTCTCTCCTCACTCAGACTCCACAAAGAAGCTGAAGGATGTGCTGGAGGAGTTTCACGGTGAAGGAGTCCTTTCCAAATACAATCCAGAGCAGGTGTGTCTGCACCACTCTTCTCCATTATCCTTCACATGCTTTTGTCTTTTCTGTCGCTTTGATAGTTTGTCTCTCTGCACACACAAACACACACGGTGTGACGTTATCGGATGGTTGGTTAGGTTCCTCTGATTCAGTGTGATATCAATCGATTAGTCATCTTCCCCCCCCTGGAGGAACGCTGTGCTGGAGACACAACCTCAGCATCAACTTTGACGCCTGACGTCAGCAGATCAGCTCCCAGCTGTGCTGTTAGACTGTAGTGACTTTTTTTAATTTTTTTTCATGCCGTCATCTGGACATTTTTTTCACTCTGCACTCTCTCCTTGTTCCCCGTCTCCAACACATTACCCTCCTCTCATTCGGGATGTTTCTGCCGAGCGCTTGCAGACGATATGATTAACTGCCAGTTGACCCATTTTCTGTGCTATTTTTTCTTCAGTGCACGATCTGATCCTGTGTGAAATATTCAAGGGATGTGTTGAGAGCAGATTAATCAATATGCTGACTCACTTTAGTTTTTTTTGTCTTTGTCGTCTCAGCGTGTAAAGGTATTTTTGTCAGCCAGCTAGCCAGGAGCAGTTTGGCACTTTGGCAGCGGCCTGTGGGGAAGTTTTGATACTTGATGAAAATACTATTTACATTCAAAGACCATTTTTACCATTGATTTGGATTTTGATTGGCAGTAATTTTGAGACTTTGAGCGTTACATTCAGTTACATATATTGTATATTTTCTCTTGTTGGTTTTAAGTACATTTCTGCAAACTACGGATACGTTGAATTTGACGATTCTGAACCAAAAACAGGTTTCAACATTTCTTCAAACATGTATATCAACGTTATAATGTTTTAACGGCTTGTTGTGCTTTTGCTGTTACTGTATTCTCAATTACTTTCAGCATTTAGGCAACAAAACTACTTGGTTAGGTTTAGTAAAGTATCATGTTTCCTCCTCCTCCTTACGTCGACTTACTTGGACTTTGATTAAACACATTTGTTTTGATACGTAAAAAACAATTATATGCATGTAGCCGTCCTTGCACTACTTTCTGAAATACAAAAATGTGTACAACGATACGTAACAAGTGTGACAGGGTAACTAATAGCCCTTAGTGGACTTACCGCTTGTTGTACTTGTTATTACCAGGCGGCAACCTCCGGTTCTGCCGAGTGAAGCCAATGCGGAAGTTTCCTAAAACCTGCATTCTCTCTACTGACCAGCAGGGGGCGACTCCTCTGGTTGTATAGAAGTCTATGAGAAAATGACTCTACTTCTCTCTTGATTTATTACCTCAGTAAACATTGTAAACATGAGTTTATGGTCTCAATCTCTAGTTTCAAGTCTTCTTCAACACAGCATGATGTTCATTTAGTACATGATGGTCCATTTAGAGTCAAACAGACCATAAAGCAGGGGATGCTTTAGGGCGGGCTTACTGTGATTGACAGGTCGCTGCCGTCACTCCTCTGCATTCCAAATATGGTCACTTCCGTTTATCGGTTTATCGTGTTTCTTTGTTAATTAATTAATTAATTAATTAGATTATAACATTCTCACGTTCTGTCTACAATCATTCTAACTGTATGTACCCACAGAATCTCCATCAAACCCACCGTTGACATGCCGTAGTTTCAGCCTGCAGGCTGCCATTTCTCTTTTAACACGTCATTTTTCTGAAATAACGTGTTTCATCTGATTACAAAGCAAGATGTGTTGCAAGTTTGTTGATTTCCAATAACTCTCTAGCAAGTAACGACATGAACGTCGGACAAGAACAGTGTTCTGAGGATGTATTCACATTTAGGCTAATTTCATGTGTCAGATTGATGACTGTGTTCAGACATCTCTGCTTTCACATCCGACTCCTCCCCCACAGTATTGGCACCGTGCCTATACATGCATATGAATTTTATAATAATGACCCTTATCATATCCCATGATTCATTTCTTCCTTCTCCTGGCATCTCGGTCTCCTTTTCATCTATGTATTATATTTCCCCTTCTCTTCCTCTTCATTCTTCATCACCAACTGTTTGTGATGACATGACTAACTGCCCGCCGGGACTTCGGGCGCCACATGAACCAGACTTAATGTTCATGTGGTCTTACTGAGACTATCACCTGGCGCCATGATGACCACTGTGGCACTGTGCCATCCATCAGTGTGTGTGTGTGTGTGTGTGTGTGTGTGTGTGTGTGTGTGTAGCTCCAGTGACTCATCAGTCCCTTGTGCCAGCTGTAGTGGAATCTACTCGAGATAGAAGAAGATGATGAACTCTATTTCATGCTTCATTTAGCTTCTTTTTTTTTTTTTGCCAATGTGTGGCTCTGCCTTTTCTGAAGGATTTAAAAAAGAAACAAAAAAACAATGATTGACACTTTTAGCTGTCGGTAGTGTTGGGCTTTTTCTTTGTTGAACAGACCAGCAAACAAACAGCAGCAGCACAATGACTGATGAGGGACAGCGGCTGTGCATTACACCCACAGGGTTTCCCTCTACAGCAGTTAAAGACTCCTTCAGACGTGATGAATTATCTCTGCCCATTTAGCTGCACTTTCTTTTTGCTGCATAATTTATGATGTCACATAAAAAAACGTCTTAATTTAGTGTCACATAAAAACCTGTCAATATAAGGCAGTTTAAAAGCAGTTTAAATGGTGGCTTTGGGCTTTACTGTGTGATATAAGAGCCGGAAACGTTTATCATGAGGGGAGAAACACGCCATTCAAACACATAATAAATAAATAATATCAAACAAAGAAACTTAAAAACAAGCAGGGATATGTGACAATCAGTGATCTGGGATCTAGACAGGACTGTAGACCCCCCCATGGTCCTACCTTTTTACCGCCCTTCTGACAGCCCTGAACCATGTCAATGTGTCATAGATGCCCTTGGGAGATATTTACAGATTGACGGGGAAAATGCTCGTGGGTTGGACTCTGTGGTTTTCCAGAGGGACGAGAATTCCACAAATGCATCATTTCATGATGTCGTATATAGTACATAATGTGTAGTGTAGTATGCAAAAAAGCATATTTCTCTGATACTGCCGTGCTGCTCGATGCACAGAAAATGAAAGCCTCGTGGTTTGTTTGGCCAAATAAGGAGACGAGAGCGATATGAACGATGCCTGGCCGGCTTTGGGAGCTCTCGGGGGGGGGGGTTAGGTCAACACTGAGGGAGGATCCTCATCACGGTGTGCTCCTCTGCGATGGGCCTCAGTTACAGAAGCATGTTGGAAGCATATTTCCACCAGGTCTTGATGTGCAGAAGGGATCAGCTTTACTTTGTCCTATTTTGGTGTGAACCAAATGATCCCTGAGGAGGAAGAGTGGTTTACTTTGCTCACAGATGCGGTCTTATTGTGTTTGCTTAGTTTATTTGCATTTAGTGTTGAGGAGATGAGACGGGCTGAGACTCCCAGTGCTGAGCCGGTCCAGGTCCTAGATGCTGATGGCAGTGAAAATACAGCAGCAGAATCTTTCACGATGTGATTACTTTTTTTCATAACAAAATATTACCGTTTTTTTAAATGCTGTTGCAGCTGACTCCCACAAGATGTACAGGTTAGACTAAATCAAGGTTAATTAAACAAATAAGAACTAAAATGTAAATCAGTGATCTTGACAGTATTCTGGCGCACAAGAAGCGATTCATTTTAATATAATGAATAGAAAGGATGAAACAATATTGTTACTGTACTTTTCTGTGTGTTTCTCCGTCCACCGTGATAAGCCAGCGCCAGGCTGCATTTACTTCACTTTTTTTTTTATTGTCTAGCGAAAGTGCAACAGAACGCCCGCTGATTCCGATCTTCTGTCCGACGTGCTGCTTTTGAGCTTGAACAATGAATAAGTGACGTCAGTGAGCCGACACGCACAATACCAGGATCTGGATCTGGACCCTGGATCTGCTTCAGCTAAATTAAATCCAGCCAACATTAATGTCATTAGTTACATTTGACAAAGCAGGCGGATACTGGGTGATTGATGATTTGAATTACATTTTTTGGGCACAGGCCCCCCCTGGCCTTTACCTACAAAATTGTATTCAAAGAGGCATGTGCCAATGAGGGAGAGACTCAAAATGACCACAAAGTAACACAAAAAGACTACAAAGAGACACAAAACAGCTACAACGAGATACAAAACAGCTGCAAAGAGACTCACGACGGCTATAAAAAGAGGATAAACGACACAAAATGACCAAAATGAAACACAGAACAACTTCAAAAAGATACAAAACTGCAAACAGACGCAAAACAACAACAGAAAGAGGCTAAACGACCATGAAGTCTGTGTCTTGCTCCTATGTAGGATGGGCCTCTTGCATGTCTGTGCCCAGCGTCTCATAGTAATCCCATGATTGCACTTATGCTTGTTTCATTAATCACCTTTAATTTGACTTCATCATGTTGTCAAGATCGCCTTGGAAGACTTTTTAAGCGGTTGATTTGTAGAACCGGATATCTGCAGGCTTTGTCTGAGTGACTGCAGCACAGTGAGACCCAAACAGTTCCTGCAGGAGTGAGGAGCAGTCAGTGTGGTCTGCAAACCTAACCACCACCAGAGACGCGCTGTAGCTAACTCCTTCTCTTCTTCTACCCTCACTCTTTCCTCATTTCCTTTCCTCCCTCTCCTCCTCCCTCGTCACAACCGTAAAAACAGAAGCAAGACGTTCTCAACCAAGTAAGCCTCAGCCGCGCGGGCTCTGCATGCTGTGTGGTGTCTGTGTCGGCAGACTGCATGCACGTTCTGTCCACTAACACGACATAACCCCGCCTTACCCGCTACAGATGGTCTGTTACCCTGCCGGAGCAGAACAGGCCAGAGGTAGTTGAGTTGGGTGGAGTACTACTATGCACCCACCACATGGCTGTGGGATGGGGAGGGGGGGTTGTAGGAGGTAATGGAAGGAGCTCAGGAATGTTGATATGACTTGTTTTGCTGTCTATTGTGGTTTCTCTTCACTGTTTTCTTTTTTAAGCCATCAGACCGCCAGAGGTTTTATCTGGATGCATCTTCCAGCACCTCCAGTCGTCCCTTGTTAACCCTTACAGTGATGTTTTCTGTGGTGGTCAGTCGACTGGTCTGGCCTTTTCAGTTTTAAGGTCAACGTCGAGGCCTTAACAAGCCGTTGTTCTTGTTTGACACGTCAGTATGTCTTTTCGAGTTGGCTGTCAATCAAGGCTGCAGACCTTCATTTCAGGGCAACTTGAATCGAAGTCCATCACATTTGTCGTCGTTGTAACAATTGAGTCTGTGGATGGTGTAAACTTCACTCATAAGCGTACCTCAGTAATTGTGTTTAACCTATTTGTTCTTTCCATTCCCCCCCATGCAGCCCATTGATTATGAGGGCTTCCAGCTCTTCATGGCCACTTACCTGGAGAATGACATCCCAGAGGAGCTGTGTCAGCACCTCTTCACCTCCTTCAAGAGCAAGACGGGAGGAGGCTCTCCCGATCCGTCCCGTGCAGGAACAAGCTTACTGGGTAAGGCTTTTGTTTTTGTATAGTTGCAATCTTTAAACACTGCTGATCACATCGTTCACAGACTCATTGGACGGTCTGTTCTGAACTGAAAACGTCAGGCTGCTCTTTCCTGAAAATGATTTCAAATAATCCAAATCTTCCACAAAGACAGCAGCTCAATGGAGGAAATCTTAAAAGCATGCCTCACCCAGGATATCCATGTCATGTTGAACGCTTTCAGCACTGAAACAGACTTGGACCCTTACAGACCGAGCAGTGGGACCCCCTTACACCTCTTTGGCTGAACATCACCTTTAGTTTGTTGTTTTTGTTGTTTTTTGATCAAAACACACAAAGTGAATTAGCAAGTCAGCTAGAGAGAGCTGCAGAGTCTGTGATTTAATAGCACCTGCAGTTTCTTCGTACTCTTCACCCGCTCTCGCTCCTTACTTATTTGACGTCTGATACCGACGCACCATTGAGCATCTGTATGAGATGCACCAGGCTTTCACCTAACTCTAATGTAAACCCATCTGTGTCAGAATCAGACGGGCAGAAGAACTGATGTAGTACAAAGAGCGAGACGGTCCACTTAGGTATGGAGATCGAGGCGAATGGTTTGGTTAAACAAACACAGGACTATCTTCTTGTCCCGCGTTAAACCAGGTTTAACATTGACTTATTTGACAGTTGTGACTTCCATACTCATTTTACGTAACAAACATACTTATTTTTTCTTTTCTTTGTATTTACTTCTTAACACAAGAGATGATCACATGGACTTTAATCGTGCCACCTCGTCTCTTTCTAAATGAGTGGACATTTTATGCATTTCTTTGTAGCACAAATGTAAAAAAAACATACAGATGAACAGAAACGCACAGACCGAAGTATTCCCTGACTTCACTGACCGGAGCAGAAGACAGAAACCTTCCCATCATTTGCTCCAGGTGTAAACCGCGTCTGCCTCCGTCCGTCCATGTGAGTGCAGCGTGGGCCGGAGTCGGCCCGTCGGGCTGCTCCTCACTGCAGAGCAGCTGAGGAGACAGATGGACTGTTGAATTACAAATCTATTTCTGTGGTAAAATGCTCGTGAAAGCAAGAGGCAGCAAGTGTAGAGGGGCTAAATGTTCAGAGACCTCGCAGAGCTTAGTGACGCCCCAGCTTCCACTCTCTGTCTTCAGTAAGGTTTATCTAATAATTACAGAAATGGCAGTAAATACATCTTTCCTTTGCAGCTGCCTCATGTACAATTCTTCAGGGCGTCTTCAAAACTGAATGGTGCCCTGTGGTGTTTCCTTGAAAGCAAACAAAAGTTACTTTTGCATTCAGTGTTATTCCCCAAAATCCAGTCAGTTTTAATGCTACAGCTGTTATTATTTTCATTAGCGACTACTGCGAGGATTACTTACTACCATGGTAGTTTAATTAGCAGTTGTGTCCATGTTAAAAGAATATTTCACACTTAAAATGACCATTTCTATACCAATTACTCACCTTGATGTCTTGAAGAAAACCTTGTTTTTCTCGCCAAACTCCACCGTGGGAAGAGAATCATAAAATGGCCAAAACATGCAGCACAATCCAATACATTTAGACTTGAATTATACTGAAGTAGTGTGAGCATGTTTCGATGTAGTTTCCCCCATTTAGTTTCTGGATTCTCTGTTCACCTTTGAGACCTGTCACACTGGGTGAGTTACTGATATGCAAATGGTCATCTTTGTGGGTGAAGTATTCCTTTAAGTTACCTACAAATTGTGCCTAAAATCTGAAGAACTAATCATATAACTCTACATCTGGATAATCTTATGGCAGACAGGGATTATTCTGCTCAGCTCTTTTGATCCTGCAGGTATAACCAAAGTTCACGGAGGCAGGTAAACGAACAGCGCCACTCACGTCGCGGCTGCTTGTCGGTGCATAAGTAATGATAAAAAGCAAGTATTTCATGAGATGTGACATGCTGTGTATCATCATCATATCTGACAAGGACAAAAGTGAATGAAGGACTTTGGTGTGGATTCTGCTGCTGCTGCAGTACTCACACAGCCTGCACTGCCACCTGGTGGCAGTCTTTGATAACATGCCATGAATCAGTCTGGATGGAGCTGGATTCTGGACTGATTGAATCCTTCAGTATCTTCAAATGACTGTTTTTAATGACCGTTGCGATGTAGACCTATTTTTTCCCCAGTGGGCCTTTGTGTCTGAAGTCAGATGAAGGAGATAAAACTAACAATATTGACACCAATTATGCTGCCTCAATGTTTCACTATATGTAATGTGGTGCTTTCTGTGTCCTGCTCCCTAATATAGATGCTTCTATTATGTCCACTGATGGTGCATTGAGACATTAGCTTTCTGCTCTTGACAAAAGATCCAAAATAGTGCTGTTAAATAACTACTGTTTTTATTTTGACACAGCCGTTTCTCTAAGCAGCCATTGTCTGCTCTCAGATAGATGGATGGTTTGCACCAAAAAGGATATATTTTAATTGATTTAAATCGTGTTTAACCAATCTTTAATACTAGCTTAAAATTCAAAAAAGAGTCCATTTAATCCTCTCTTTAAATTTAGTTTAGTTTTTTGCTCTTAACCGAGATTTTCCAAAGATTTAAACTGTGATCCAGTGTCATGAGGAGTTTAATGCTCAAAAGTTTTATTTCTTTTCATTCAACAGGATGTCTAAGATGCATTGTCTAAAACAAGTCCCTACACATCATAGAAATGTTACTGCTGCTGTCTTTCTGTTCCTCCCCCTCAAAACAATGACTGACTGCAGAAACCCGCTCCATTGACGCAGGCATCTCTATTCAGACCGAAGTGGCCTGTGCCCCCATTACAGGTACTGGAGCAGGCCGAGTAGCCCGTATCATCAGGGTGATGTCATCTTAATGGGACAAGGGCCCTGCTGGCCATGACCTCCTGCTCCCCTCCTTTTTTGTTGTTGTGCTCTGGTTGTGTCGATGTGAGTTCATGGTATTTTGCTGTGGGTCAGTGGAAGGCTTTGTGAATGGTGTTTGTGGAAGGTTTTAACGCGGTGTTGTCATTTTATCTGCTCCCTGTCTGCATCCTGAGTCTGTTTTCGATTGTCGTCATGTTTTACGATTTACAGTATTTCTTAATGTTGCTACTTCCACCTCCACTCTCTGTGCATGTAGCATCCTCAACTCATCTGTCCTTGTCTCTCTCTACCTCTTTTATGTTGTCCCCCAGGGATGAATGGGAAAAGCATCCTGTCTGCAATGGGCCGGCACACACCGGAGCTCTCCGGCATGGCGGGCTCGGCAGCCGCCACCTCCCCTTGCTCCTCTCGCTCCTCCTCGCAGCGTTCAGGGACGGGGGCCCATACGCCTGGGGGGCCCCAACGATCACCCTGCACCCAGGTCAAAACCTCAGAGGGGAGCAGCAATGCCCTGACCCCCAATGCTGGTCCCGCCAGGTCGCCAGTGTCCCCCAAACTCTCCCCAGGTGAGATTGACTGCAAGTAAATGAATATTTTATGAGAGAATATAGTTAATATTTACGTGCATTTTTTAACTCTGTGATGTATATTGTCACATTTTTGTATGATGTGCCACAAAATATTGTTACATTCAAACCTATGACAGTCATAAATGAAGAAACGTATCATGTGGACTCTTGCTGTCCCCAGTCAACATTTACTTATTGGGCTTTCTGCCAATGATTAGTGAAATATATCCGATTAAAAAAAAAAAAAGTCCATGTTTGCTCGGTCAAGTGAGGACATCTATGCAAAAAGTATCTCCTCATGTTTGATCCCTTTTTAAAAGCAGCACAAGTAAAGATAACAGCATGCAAAAAGTATTAAAACTGTGTTTATTAGACTTTAAGTTATGTCTATTGCTGCTAATCCTGTTATGACTTGTCAGATTGTTTATACCCGTCACATGATGCCGTGTTATTTTGCTCAGCACTATGTGGCGTCTCTGTCTGCGCTGTGAATAGTGCTTTTGTCGAGCTGTTCTCCGCTGCTCTGCTTTGTCTCTACCTGCTGCACTGGGATCAGAGTTCTCTAACTAATACTTTCATGTGTAATTTACTGGCGCTTCTGCTTCATTCGTTATCCATTCATTTTCACCACAGAACGGAGTAGAAGGAGCGACGTGAGTAGCGTTGAACACTTTGTGTTGTGCATCAACAGAGAGGAGCCACTCTGACAAGCATTTGTCACTGCGGAGGAGCCCGTCGCCCCAGAAAGGCCCCCCCCTGCCGTCGCCCCAGGTGGTTTTTCTCAAGGACATCGTCTGCTACCTTTCCCTGCTGGAGAGGGGGACGCCGGAGGACAAGCTGGAGTGTGAGTGACGTGGATGGGGACGGGGGACGCAGATGGGGGGTCAGCTCCCCTGGGGGGGGGGGGGATGTCGAGTGGGTGCAGCTGTCTGTGTGTATGTGCCCAGGCCACTTATACCGCTGGTTTCATGTCAGCTCAGGTTATCAGCAAGAGTAACAAGGCTGTTCCCTCCTTCCCCGGGTCCTTAGGTACCCACACAGTGCAGGGCAGTGGCATCCTTAATAAGCCCTGCCGTGACTTCTTTGCTGTCTAATGCTATATTGGTGCACAGTGACAAGGCTAATCTCTGTTAACTGGTACCCCTGCTTCACTACAGAAGTAGCACGCTCCACTTCTTTAACCCTGTGGCCATTTGGAGAGAGTCCAAGAACAAATGTTACAGTCACCAGTTATCCGACGGTGTCTGAGTCATCACAGGATCTCTGTTCTCTCCATTCCCTCTAGTCATGTTCCGGCTGTACGACACAGACGGCAACGGGGTTCTGGACAGCTCGGTGAGTGTCTCCTCTCGCTTTTGTGTTTTTCTGTCTCTGTCTCTCTCTCCCCTCCTCTCTTCATCTTTCTCTCGGTGTCTTGTCTCTCTCTTTGCCCTTTGCACACAGACGCTCTAAGAATAGACACCTGAGCACTCGGTGACAGCAGTCGTGTTTACATGAGATCATTTGTAACTGGCTGTTCAGTTTAGCATTCAGCCACGTGCTGAAGTGCTCACATGAGCGGACATTTTCTTCTGTGAATATGTTGTACAGTATAGGGAAATGCATGGACATGGGCATATTATGAGACAATGGGCCAACCAGACCTTATAGCTGTTTAGTCTCTTTCTATTGTGTTTTTGCATCTCTTTGTAGTTGTTTCATGTCTTTTTGTAGTCATTTTGAGTTTTTTTGTAGTTGTTTTGTGTCTCTTTGTAGTCGCTTTGTGATTGTTTTGCATCTCTTTGTAGTTGTTTTGGTCTCTTTATAGTCTCTTTTTTTCTTTTTGTAGTCGTTCTATGTTTCTTTGTGGTCATTCTGAGTCTCTTCCTAATTGGTACGCCTCTCTTTGAGTGCATCCAGAGCATAGGCTGTATGTCAGTGCCGCAACAGGGGGGGTCATTAATGTGTATTATTAGTTTTTAGCATAGATTGTATATAAGAAGTGGGCGTAATCACCATGACGTCTTACATTGGTTTGTTGGACGCCGTTTGAAGCCTTTATTTCGACGTTTTGGACATTACCTTCTGTTTCTTTTGCAACCAGAAGTGACTCGAGAGGGAGCTAAATACAACCGAATGCTAAATAAGACATTTATAGATGACCAAAATGTCACAATTAACTTTCATTGAAGGGAAAATGCACTGTTAAATTTGTAAGATGAAAACACGGACAAGTCCCAGACTGGACAACACCGTGATAGAGACCTGTCAATCACTGTGTAGCCCCGCCCTAAAGCGTACCCTGCTTTATGGTCTGTTTGACTCTAAATGGAGCATAATGTACTAAATGAACATCATGCTGTATTGAAGAAGACTTGAAACTAGAGATTGAGACCATAAACTCATGTTTACAATGTTTACTGAGGTAATAAATCAAGAGAGAAGTAGAGTCATTTTCTCATAGACTTCTATACAACCAGAGGAGTCGCCCCCTGGTGGACACTAGAGAGAATGCAGGTCCACTTTTCAGACCCGGTGGTTGCTGCCTGATCCAAAGTCTCAGACGTTACTTTACCGAACGCCGGCTTTAATGTTGACTCATAACATTTCTTTTACCTGCCATCTATGTTTGAAATGTATGAGAGTTGATTATTTTTAGCAGGAAGTAAGGCTCTAGGTTCTCTTTGTGCATCTCTCGTTTCATAGGAGCTGGATCGCATCATCAATCAGATGGTGCATGTGGCAGAGTATCTGGAGTGGGATTCAACAGAACTGCGACCGGTGAGCAAACACACTCTCCAGTTCTATAAAGTCTGAGGCAAAAACAGGAAGAGGAACGTAAACAGGCCCCTCTGTGAAGGTTTTATCATCATTTACTCAAACTTAATGCCAACTGAAACCTGGAGTGGCATCCATCGAGTGGATCTGAGTTCCACAAAGGTAGAAAAACAACGAGAAGAAAGCAAAGTGGTACAAAGAAAAAACAAACCGCTTGTTAGAGGACAGCTCTCTCTTGAAAAATGATCAATACGTTCAAAAGTCTATTATTGGCATTTGGCAACAAAATTCATAACAAAAATGGTGAAACTGAAAACACTTTTTACACATTTCATAAATAAAGAATGTTATACTCATAGCGGACCCTGAGCTGAGTACATCCAGCATAAAACAGTATCAACGTTAGTTAGACTATGTGTTAATGTATCTCTCTCTGTTTATTAAAGTGCATTCATTGTTTGTATAGCAGGGACAATTCCCAAAACAGAAATAGACCAATATGGCCAATAATATTATTGGGAAAGAGCAGAAATAACTAGGATGTATATAAAACGCCAGTTAAAACAAAATGTCAGATCTGTGTCTGATCCTGTTCATCCTCTTTTTAAAGAATTCATAAAACTCTTCTTGTGAAAATGCAATAGAGCTGCCGCAGCAACCAAGAAGTTATTATTATTATTGCACCGGATAAAACCTAAAGATAATTTCTATCTGTCTCCTTGTATCGAGTCTGTTTGTATTTACCTACTAAAAAGCCTCATGGAACGTTGTTTAAAAGCATTTTTAATCATCTTAAGAGTCCCATTTTCATCCGTAGTAAGTCGTAGGTCTGACTTTGTATCTACAGTCTTTGGTTTTAAGGACGATATCTATCTCTGTCACTTTAGATACTGAAGGAAATGATGGAAGAGATCGATTACGACAGAGACGGGACAGTCACGCTGGAGGAGTGGATCAGAGGAGGCCTCACCACCATCCCTTTACTGGTCCTGCTGGGCATGGAAACGGTACGTATCACACTGTTTTTAACTGTTAATACCCCGTGTGCATCTTCACAACCCTTACTGTTCAGTATTACCACTATACATGTCTACATCACTCTGCACTTTGCTGCTTTTTGCACTTCTGTGTAATGGCGAGTTGAGTCTAATCTAATAACTTGAGTTAATGTTTACTTGAGCTGCTTGCAAACACAGAGTGTTTATAGTGCACGGATAAAGTGCATGCCGGGTCGGGTTATTGTTAATTTGAGAGTCCGCCATAGACGAGCCACAGAAAGGACAGTTTTGACTTCTTCATCCATCCCTTGTTGTCTCCTCCTAGAATGTACAGGAAGACGGGCAACATGTGTGGCGTCTGAAGCACTTCAACAAACCAGCCTACTGTAACTTCTGCCACACCATGCTGCTCGGAGTTCGCAAGCAGGGCCTCTGCTGCTCATGTGAGTCCCTCTCTCTGCTCGCATCTCTTTTTTTTCTGACTTCCTGTCCTTCTCTAACTCTTGTCATTATCTCTTTGTCTGTTCCTCCTCCATCTCCTGCTGTTCTTTCTTTCTCCCACTTTACTCCCACCTGCGTCTGACTCAAATGTGTAGTGCCTGAGTGCTTCTGAGTCAATGTTGTTTTTTCCAATTAAAAAGTCCTCACAGTCGTCATTAAAAGAACATTAACAATGTCGTCGCGTGTCATTTCGCTCGTGATTGAATTCTGCAGGGGAGCAGTTCTCGAAGGTTGATGTTGTTGTCACAGTAGACGCACAGTCGAACATCGCGTATTGAAATTATCTCTAATGTGGGAAACATTTTGTTTATTAAATCCCCTCCAAGCCTTGTTTTGTAGTTAAGATGACACAGGACCAATACGTGTAAGACGTTTAATATAACGTTGAATATAGACTGTGGTTCACAAACTGTTGTCTCTGTCGTTGTTGTCTTCCCACAGTATGCAAGTACACAGTGCACGAACGGTGTGTGTCCAAAGCCATCGCTGCCTGCATCAGCACCTACGCCAAGTCACGAAGACACACCAACGTGAGTACGGAGCCATGAAAGGGTTCATTCTGCTACTTGAAACGGTGATAACAGGAAGTGATGCTGCGGGGTCCCGAGACGCGAACACTGACCCGTCTGTTTAGCAGATTCCCACTGGCTCATGGTCCTGTTTAATTGGGCGCCGAGGATCATGGGATGGTCTGTGAGGTCGTGCGAGGCTTCTAATCAAGTCAATATCCTCTGTGTTGTAGCTATGACGTGATTCGGCTCCGTAGAGCTGTTTCTCTGGCTCAAGTCACTTGCTGATTACTGTCTGTAGGGCTTCCAACACTGGGTTATTACCTAAACTTACTGCCAGAAGTCTTGTTTTGTTTTAGTCATTTATTCCTCTATTGATTGAGCTAATTGACTTAAGTTTCTATTGAACTGAATGCACATGCTTTATTTTCTGTTCATACATATTTTTATTCATCATAAATGCTAAAGAACTTTGAACACAGCTTTTTTTTATTTGACTCCTTTTCAGGCTATGCAGCATGTTTGGATGGAGGGCAACTCTCCCACCAAGTGCGACCGCTGTCACAGAAGCATCAAGTGTTACCAGGGCCTGACGGGCCTGCACTGCGTCTGGTGTCAGATCACTGTGAGTTGCTGCATCTTATGTAGACACAGATGAATCTGACCAGGTTACACTTTAATCTGCAGCGGACATATTCTGTATAAACCATAGCAAAACATTGTCAGTGCGCCGTAGTCTCTGTGATTTATTGGAGCATTTTTTATGGTTTATCCTTCTTTAAGTGCTTCGTGTTTTACAAGTGTTTATGAAAGATAACACAATGAGTTATGGCCTCATTATATAAAGTCTCGTGTTTACACTACCGTGTCAGTTTATTAGGTACGCGTAGCGCAAAACTACTGCAGTCTAATACAAACATTTTAAAACGTTGTTTTTCTTTTTTTAAGCTGTTATAGAGAGGTGTTACTGACACCTGTTTCTATTATTATGTCCAACAGAAACACCTCTAAAAACAAACTACAGCCTCCAAAATGATCAGAGTGTTTAATCAACACCTTTGAAACACTTTCAATAGAAACTGAACATGACGGGAGGATATATTACAGTCAGGTGTACCTAATAAAGTGGCATCTGAGTGTATATTAATTCACTCTAGTTTTACCTATAACTTAAAATAAACCAAACCCCACATGTTGCCCCTAAACTCTATTGTTTTACTTTATATGGATCAGCCTTTTGTCTCCATAATGTAGTGTGTGAACACCTCTGATGACTACACACCTCTATACAGGTTACTCTGCATTGCTCTTTAAATCCACTAGATGTCACCGCTGACTTGGAGTTTGCTCGACGTCAATCCTTCTGCCAAAACTCTCAAACGCACACAGCAGTTGTTGTCATTTCAGCATGAAAATGATTCTGCATAGAAATACTAACTTTTTCGACTGCTACTATATGGTCTGTCCAATAATCGGTGTGTACCTTTGAGAATAAACATCGTCCAGAAGTGAAGCGTTTCATACTGGTAGTGTTCTGATGTACTGAGTCTCACAGATGGATTCACGCCCACAGTTCTTATGTTTCTGCCTCTGCTCTCCTCCGTAGCTCCATAATAAGTGTGCATCTAATGTGAAGCCGGAGTGCGATGGAGGAGCCTTGAGGGACCACACTCTGTTGCCCTCGTACATCTGCCCCGTCGTCTTGGTGAGGTGGCTTTTTTCCCCTCTGCTCTCCACATGGGTTCCATCCACTTTTCAGCTGTTCATCTGAGAGCTCAGTACGATCCGGACTGTACACAAAATAACAGCACCGATTAAAATGTTTGCCATGTTCTGAGTAACGTTAAAATATGTTGACAAGTGGAAAGTTGCTATGAATAGTCTCAATTCAACAGATTTCCTCCATCAAGTCATGTCATGCCCATTGTTTTACCAAACACCTGCCTCAATTTCACACTCAGTGATGATTCTATTTACGGTTCTGTGGTCTGACTCACATTTTCCCCACAAATACCTCATTGACAAGCCGATTTATATGCATATTATCCATATTGTTAGTGGGCATTTCATACATTAATACAAGGCCCATGCACCTGCAGAATATTTGAAACTCATCTGATTTATAAAGCTCATGCAGGGAAGTTTCATAAATCGAAATATGTTTGAGTGCACATCTTCGTACCGATAACAGTCTTCCTCCTTCCTCAGGACCGTCATTCTGTGGTGAAGCGTGGGGAGGGGGAGTCGCCACCCAGCACCAGCCCTGATGACATCAATCAGACTTTCAAATTCTCCCCTGGAGACGGACAACCACTGCAGGTATGTCCAGCGGCCAGCGGCCGTCCATCCTGTCGGTTGTTGAGGTGACCACACAAAAGCTGGTTAGCAGATGCCTGAGACTGTTTTTCATTCCTGTCTCCAGATCACCCCTCTCCCAGGGACTCACCCTCTCCTGGTCCTGGTCAATCCCAAGAGTGGAGGGAGACAGGGGGAGCGGTAAGTTCCCACCACCCACAGACCATCTGGTCAGGTGGTCTGTCTTTTACATTCACTGCAGTGTCGTGTATGGAGACCATGCATACAGGTTATCAAATTCATTCATCAAATATCATAAGCTGTCTTATCTGGGAGTTTAATGTAGTTATTTGTGGCTTTATGATTTTTTTAAATGAGATTTTTCATGGGGAGTAATTTAGGTCAAAAATATAAATTAAGATTTATCAACATTAACTTTATATGTTAATAGTTCATTTCATTTTCAGATTTTCTTTAATCTTTTTGTGTCCCATGTCCATTCCTTTAAGCTTCTATATCTCAGCTTTTAGTTTTTGGCATTTTCATTTAAAATTGGCATTTCACAATATCCATTTGTCATTTCAGCATCTAATTAGAATTTTCAGTATCCTTTTTCACTTTACCGTTTAATTATAGTTGATTTGGTACGATGTAATAATAGTTTATTCGCCACTTTCGTTTTTCATTTTAAATATAAAATGATCCTTTCTATGCTCACATTAGCCATTTATTCATTGCCTTTGGGTTGTGAGCTTTAAATACGATGTTTAAATCAAGTACAGGATCTACCTGTGGTGGAAGTAGTGAGGAGATCACCTATAGCACACACGTATAGATCATCATCACAGGACTAACGGGCCGACCTGTTTCCATTCAGCACACTTCAGGACACAGATTTGTGTCACAGCTCTGTGCATGTTCTCTGAATGCTGTAATATAAAGACTGTAATATAAATGCTGTAATATAAAGACGACGAGGGCTCTTCAAGCTTTAAATACACGTCTTTATTGTCTCTGTTCACACAACAGAGACCAATCACAGCCTCCCGTTCCGCATCAGCCTGACACGCTCCCATAGCAACCCGCTCTTTATTGCCATTAGAAAGGACACTGCACTCTATTAATAGACATAAAATAAATAAATAAAGAAGAACAGGAAACCAGAGGCTATTTGTGTTTGTGTGAAAACATTTTCTGTTTCAGTTTAACCTGATTGATGAACTCATTGACGAGTTTAGGTTTCCAAGGCTGAGGCATTGATCAACTTATTAATATAAATGTATTCGAGCAGTCTATTTAAATACAGTGGCGAGCTGGGTAGGAGAAGCATTTCAGCAGCCAGCTGAGTTGCCTGCATGAGAAGTGCAATCGGAGGATTGTGCAGGCTTCAATGGGCATTTTATGTAACCCTCACAAGGTTACAGGAAACTGCTGCGTCGACGCGCAGCTCGCTAAAACTCTGACAGTTTGTGAGAGCGAAGAGATGGAGGAGATAGAAGAGCATGCAAACTAGAGCTCTCCACTTCTTCATCTCTTTCATATTATCCTCTTCCTGATCTCTGAAATGATTATTTTCTGCAGAACAGATTGTTTAAGTTGCGTGTGGAGGTTGCACAGAAGTCACTTCACACGCCTTCAATGGAGCTTCATGGGCCCGTCGCCATACTTTTGTTGGACGAGACGCAGTAAACCTGCAAGATCAGTTATTTCACAGCGTGTCAGGAGCCTTGAGAGGCTGACGTACTTTTTATTCTTCTAACAAATAGATGAGCGCTCTTTCATAGCCTGTAACATTCAACTTGTATCAGTCTGATGTAATATTTAGCGTATTGCGTATGTAGGTCAATCCATAGGAGCTCAATGTATTTCTAACTTGTGTCCTGTCATTGGTCTCCTCCTCCAGGGTGCTGAGGAAGTTCAGGTACCTCCTAAACCCCAGGCAGGTGTACAATTTGGATCAAGGTGGACCAATGGTAGGGTAAGTCTGCCGCATTCATCTCTTTGAAATGAAATCAGTTAGAGGGTGCTTTATTAATATACAGGCCTGCACCAGCCTGTTGCAGCCTTCAAAAGACTTCAGTCGATCTTTTAATGGATAAATAATTAATAAACGGAGCCACACACAAAGAAATGAAGCTGTCATTCATTAACAGATCTAAATGCAGGTGTGCTAGGGACTTACTTTACCGTGACGTTAAGCTGCGTCGGGAGTTTGTGTTGAGAATGAAACGAACATCGTGAATATAAAGAACAGTTAATTATTGTTCAGTCAGGGAGCTGTGCTGTCAGACCACCACCTCTTTACCGCATGTCAAACTAACCTGTTGAGGTCATTGAAGGGGAATGGGAACACGGCATTACTGCCGCGCTGTGCATTTGACCTCTTGACACGCGCACACACACACACACACACACACACACACACGCGCACACACTCATATGTCAGAGCTGAGCACAGCTTGTACTTTGAAATGAATGCTGCTGCACCTTTTGTCCATTAAGGGCAGAAAAAAAATGCCCGACGCAGCTCAAGGGCTGTAAATGCTTTATCTTGAAGGTGAAGCACTCCCTTCAGCACCCTTTCACTTCCATTTATGTGTCTCTCTCTGCTCCTCTGTTCACGTCCCTCTCTCTTTCCCTCTCCGACTAGCAGAGCTGCTGCCCTCGAGAGCCCGTTGTGGGGAAAAGCGGCACAATGACGCACTCGGGTCTTATTGCAGATGACACATGCGGCGTCGAACACAAACGCCGTGTTTACCCTCATGTGATACTGGACAGTTCAGTGATACGACTTTCCTGAACTGACCAGAGTATAAACAAAACACAGGCATGAACAGGAATCCCTAAATTATCATCACTTATCACCGCTAGGATTTTAGGTCAAAACTATTTGTCACTTTTGTTCGTCCTCTTCTTCATCGCGTCTCTCTCTAAATACGTCCAGTGCTGTAGCCTTCCACAGTATATTAGTCAAAGAACATTTCATTTAGATTCTGACCAACAGTAATCATGAGTCTTCTTTTCTGCACGTGGTCCGTTATTCTAATATATTCGAGTGCACGTAACGCTGTTACTGCTGAGAGAGGCTCTACAGTATACACAAGTGAATATCAACACACGCGCACAAATAAACACAAAGGGCTTAATGAAGGTCTGTTGACACGTCGAGGGTTAACCTGCTCTCAGCTGAGCTGTTACCATGGGCTCCTTAGCAACAGCCTCAGCAGGCTTTGAGGTGAGAGGCAGCTCACGCTGAGTAATTTGTTTAGGGGATGCAATTCCTCGCTGTGTTTTCAGTCATCACAAACATTGTTTCAGCTCCTTCCGTTAATGTCAAACCTCCAGTTGGCTTTGTGTCTCCTAACCTGTCGTACATAAAGCATAGACACAGGATTAGCTGGTTTAGTTCAAATGTTACGCGGACGTGGGGGGGTGTTTCGGTTGGATGCGAATCACGGCTCCAGGTTGTGGTAATGTCCACACAGCCTGTGCATGTCAGTGTAGTTTTTCTGCATGGCCATTGGAGAGGGCTGTTTGCTTCATGGCCTCTGCATAGTCACTCCCCCTTTTTTTGCCAAATGGCATGAACACAAGCACGCACCTTTACACCCACACACTTGACCTCCAATGCCGAATTCCAGCCTTCTTAAGCAAAAACTGTGGCCGCTAAAGGGTGGGAACATCTTTGTGGACTTGACCCACCGACACAGTGAGCTATAGATTTACTGGTTGCAGTTACAGTGTCCTTGTTCGTCGTAATGAAGGAACATGTCTCCCGTGCGGCTCATTGATGTGTTTTTAATAGTTTGGAATACAATGGAGCTCGATAGCAAATGGGAATGAGATATATCAGGCTTCGACTACACAGAAGGATCAATTCATTGTTGTTTTTTGGTCTTTTGGGGGGGATTTGTTTCCAGTGAGAGAACTAAACTAATACCATATTTGTCCTTTAAGTTAAATATTGAGCGAGCCTGTCGTCTTGTTAGTGCCACCACATCACCAGAGCAAATCCCCACCGATGACACTGAACATGTATTCGATGTACGACACCGCGTAATATTTATTTTAAGATGTAGACATGGTTTAGAGGGGCCGTGGGCCGTCACTGTGCGGGACCAGGTGGTCGGTGTGAAAGGGCTCTGTGCCCCATAAGCAGCTGTCTCATGATGGAGAGAGATGAAAGCTACTGTCGACACCTTTGTCCCAACGCACATTAAAGGTCCCTTTGAAGGGCACGCACTCTGTGACTGTGGTATCTGGGGAAAGGAGTGGAGTGAACACAACTGGAGAGGGCACACATTCATTAAACTCTCTCTCTCCCTCTGTCTTTCTCTGTGTCTCTCTGCCCATCAGCCTCGCAGCTCAGTTCATTAAATCATTCAGAGCTTAGAAAATCCCTGTCTGATTTATCGCCTTTTAACGCAAGCTGACGTTGAGATTGAGGAGTTTTGTGCAGATAGAACAAGGCTAAACAATGCATTTATAAAAGACTTGTTTTTGTTTCAGCATGTTTTAGTTAAATCGATCTTTTGTCGTCTTAGGCTCAACTTTTTCCATGATGTGCCTGATTTCCGGGTGCTTGCTTGTGGAGGTGACGGCACTGTGGGCTGGATCCTCGACTGTATAGGTACACGCATTCTAATAACAAAATGACCTAATACTGACAACGTGGATCTTATTTTCACAGTTTGGGCCATGGTTTCTAGCTGGTTAGAACATTGTACTCACCAAGTTACAGCAAAGTTTTGCCAATAACCTTTCAGCACACACATTCAAGTGGTATCCCAGGGTAGGCAGTTTTCTAGAAAAGCTCCCCCAAACATATTTAGAAAATACAGCCCTCATCCTGCAGCTCCCCCCTCTCTGTCCTAAGCCCCTCCCACCAGACGAATCATTCATTTCAAACATCATCCTGATCACGATTGTGATACCGATGGCGTCCCCCTTACTTTTTTTCGGTTGCTTTGCATTATGGGCAGCTGTTTGCCAGAATAGCAACTTTTCCTGCTGGACAATCTGCCATTGAATCTTGAATCTTGATTTGTGCAAGCGCATCTGTATTTGTAGGACAGCCAATAAGAACGCCCTCTTTCTGCAATGACCTGTGATTGGCAATAGTCTCCTAATACTGGCTAGATTTTCCAAAGCCTGAAAACAGAGTAATGAGGCGATGCAGAAGTTTAGTTTTAATTCAGACCACTTGAATCACAATACGCTGAAAGGTTATTGTATTTTTGACGCCAAAAATAAACAGCCTACCCCAGCTTTAATGTCTGAAACCCTCCAATTAGCCAAACCTTTTTGACAGAGAAAACTAATGCGAATGTAGCTCCATGTTGCCATTTTCTCAGTTCTCTGCAAATAACTTTGGATTATAATTGTGTCTACAACCAATAGACACAATGGCTAAAGCGACAAAAACAAGGCCGAGTTGTCCCAAGTTTCAAGGACTGTTCAACCCAATATAAGAGAGATCTGTTCGTCTTTGTCTTTGCAGATAAGGCCAACTTTGCCAGGCACCCTCCGGTGGCCATCCTCCCTCTGGGCACAGGGAACGACCTGGCTCGCTGCTTACGCTGGGGAGGAGGTGAGGCACTCGCTCGATCATGTGTGTGTGTGTGTGTGTGTGTGTGTGTGTGTGTGTGTGTGTGTGCTTCTTTTGTTTAATCTATCGCAGTACATCCATCCTTGCGTTGACATTGATGAAACTTAAAAAAGTGAAACTATTGGTTGACTATTTCATGCAGGGAAAAACAAAACATTAGTTCAAGGAAGATTTGGAGAAAGCTGATACAGAATATATATGATACTGACTGACAGAGTAAGTAAAGCTACTTAAGGGGATAAAACATTCATTTACGTATAGATTTCTGTCCTCCGAATATTTCAGGAAAAAGTAAAAGATAGTAGATTATCTGTAAAGGCTCAACTTAGTTCTTTAAAGAAAGAACAGGCTTAAAATGTGTATTTGATTGACTTGGCAGCAGTCTAAACTCTCTGCCAGGGTTCATTTTAATGTTTAGAGCATGACTGTGGATTCAGGGAGGGTCTCAGTTGCACACTAGAATACAAAAGGAAAGGCAGGCGTGTGTGTGCATGATTTTGGGAAATGAAAGATGGGGAAGGGGAAAATGGGAGCTCTTACGTGTCAAATTAAAAACTGTTAATATGCAAATCACCATTGATTTGTTGCAGCACTTTGGGCCAGTAATTAGAAAGGCTTGATTGTTGCTGCTTGGAGGACCAGCAGAGCACTTACTCAGGCTTATGAATGACTTTTTGTCAATAAGCAGCCGGGTTCAGTAGGGCGGCTTTGGGATTTGTTCAATAGATCATCTTTTGCAGAAGTAAACATTGAAGTATGAGCTGGAGTCTCTGCAGCCGTTGCTAATGGCATGGCTCTAGGGATGGCAATGTTGGTCCAGCACTTTAGTCCAGACTGAAAAATCTCAACAACTGTTGGATGGATTGCCATAACATTCTGTACAGATATATATGTATATATATATATATATATATTCCTCAAAAGGAAAGAAGGAAGGATAGAATGAAGGAAGGAAGAATGGATGGATGGATGGAAGGAAGAATGGATGGATGGAAGAATAGATGGATGGATGGATGGAGGGATTTTGAAATATCTTGATAACAATTGGAGGGATTTCCAAGAAGTTTGGTGCAGATCTCCATGGTGCCCGTGGGATGAATTGTTATGACTTTGGTGATCCCCTGAAGTTTCATCTAGTGTCACCAGCAGGTCAAACTTTTCACTTTATCCTTGATATCCCAATATCCCAGAGGGTGAACTTTCCTTTAGCGTAAACATTTTTGGCTCTTCGGGAAATATCTTGACAACTTTTCAAATGGATTGCCATACAATTACGTTCACATTCACACTTTTTGGGGGTTTTTGTTGCACCACATTGGTCGAGGTTCCAAACGAGCTGAGTCGATACTAGAAGGTGGAGTTAAACAGGGCAGAAAAAGCGTTGAGAGGAACCATGCAGTGGAAATGAGGCATTAGTCCTGTCAGACACAAAGGAGTTTATGATTAAGTCTGTGACAAATGCTTTTCCTGTCATGTCTTATGTTGTCATCTGCCGTAAACTATCCGAGAGCCCCTTGGTGTGTGATACATGTTTTTATGATGACGTGTGTGTGTGCACACATTCAGGGTAAAATGTGGTGAAGCATCCATGGGGAAAGAGACAATTATTTTTCCATCAAAAGGAAATTGTTCCCTCTAAAATTGATATTATATTTTAAGACTACTACTCTGTCAGAATATGCAAACACACTCATGTGTCACACATGACGATCCTAGTGTGATGGTACTCACTGATCCCTCGTGACACCGTTGGAACTTACTTCCGCCTCCGATCGCTATTAAGATGCCTCGGCTGCTTGAAGCAGGCTGTCGGCTGCGGAGCAAAAACCAGAGGGCTCCCCGGGGTGCTGTCAGGCCCCCGGGCGCCCTCTGGGTTCGGAGGTGGTGAGGGCGGCGGTCTCTGTAAAGAGGCAGCCTGATCAGTGCCGCTGTGTTGCAAGTTTCAACCCATATACTCCACCGTTCCACCAGTTAAATGTAGGGCTTTAAATATAGATTGGGTGAAATAATACATATAAATAAATAGTCAGGGGACGACTGAATCAATTATTTATTTTATTTTCATTTAATTTTTCTAAATTTAAACTATTCCACAGTACAAACAATGGACAGGGATCTACTTTTGGACATATCTTGCGTCCTCTCTGTTGTTTCTACCTGTGCATCTGCTCGTGTTTCTACTCATTGCACGTTCCTCTCCGGCTGGTTGTCCGCAGGTTACGAGGGCGGCAGCCTGATGAAGTTCCTTCGGGACATCGAGCACAGCAACGAGGTGGTGCTCGACCGCTGGAACATCGACATCGTCCCCGATGACAAGGAGGAGAAGGGAGACCCTGTCCCCTACAGCATCGTCAACAACTACTTCTCTATCGGAGTGGTGAGCAAACTGAACACATTACATACGACTGATTCCATTATCTATTTCCTGTGTGGATACTACTCGGAGGTAAAAAAAAACATTTTGCTTCTAGATGTACTTCTTACAGAACCTGAAAAGGGCATTGAAAGGCAATTATTTTTATAGATATAATATGCGAGATAAAATAAACAATGTGTCATAAATCTTGCCCCCAAACCGTCTGACCGCACTGCAACACAAACAACACGGTGTGAGAGAGATTACCTGGTCTTTGTGGACGCAAGCAATTAGCAGATTGATCAGCGAGCGTCTGTTTCCCTCTCGGGCAGGTTTCCTCTTTTAATTGGAGGCAAGAAACCTGCTGCCAGGTCCCAGTTGCTTAGCAACCTTTTTACCTTATCCTGATGGAGATACTCGTGTGAAAGCTCAGGGACGGTTTTTTTTTTTTTTTTACAGAGGTGACAAAAACAAGGGGCTTCGTGAAGTTATCGGTGTAGTCGGATGGTGGATGTGTCTGCACTGCACATCAGTGAAATGTGTCGCTTCGGTATTTCTTTATGCCAAAATGGAGGGATTCACGTAGACTACCGCTCCTCTGATGTGGTTTGGACTCACAAGAATGAGTCTGATGCTGCAGTTATACATATATCATTTAAATAAGTTCCTCCTTCATCAGCTTACAGTAATCCTATAAATACCCTTCTTAACTCACATTAAGAACTGGTCAGTGGGAGGAAGCCTTCATTCATGTTACCAGCACAGCAAATAACAACCTGGTCGCCAGAATAAAAGTGTTCACGTTGCACATTTCTGAAAAACCAAAAGTACAATTCATATCAATATTTTTACATTTTATGTCAACGCTATAGTGTTTTAACCACTTGTGCCGTCAATTAGGTTTAGATTAAGGCAACAACGTTACCGTTGTAAGATTCAGTAAAAGATGTTTTGGGTTAAAACAAAGAATAATAATAAATTTGACTCACCCCAACCTCCTTCCTACGCGGACTTCCGCTGACTTTGAATAAATATATTTGTCAAAAACAAACGTAATCAGGGAGAATATACGCTCCATTAGAAACCTAACAGTGCATTTCATTGTATGAGGACTTAATTTTTACGAGGCCGAGCTGCAAATAAACACTCTAATGCCAAACTTTCAATCACAAGCTTAGTGTGTATGCCAGTGCTGCTGCTGCGGAAACCAGACTCAGAGCTGAGTCATCACCATATCAGTAAGTAGGTGCCATCTGATTAATTTTTTCTTCATTCAAGCACCATTAAGTTGAGGATTAAAAATAACAGTGAAACTCATTAGGCATATAGTACATATGACTATAAATAAGCAGAAGTGACACAAGTGTGAAGAAGACATATGTGCGCAGGTAGAAATAAATGGGTTTCTGGCAAGAAGAGGATGAACCACAGTGACGTTATATAGCTGCACCCCCACTGATATCTGCATATGTGTCACACCATCACACGGAGGAAGCCAGTGACATACTAATGTGTCACTGCCATATGTACGTTTGCACCATTTCCTGGCTAAACACTTTGTAGTCAGAGCTGCAGCACTGGAGGTACAGACGATGGTGTTTGACCGGCTGTCTCGGTTGTGATTTTTAAAGTGATGGTTTTAAAAGAAATGTAATTGTCTACTACTTACAGATTTTATCAACAAAATACTCATATTGCCAGTAATTTTTCACCTCACTGCAGCGATATACATGTGTACTCAATGATGCCATTACATCACTGTTGGGTGTCGTTAAAGGTAGAAGAGACTAGAGTAGAAAAACAATGCTTTTCAGCCTTAGGTGCCGGGTTCTCTTGTTGTTTTCACCAAAATCCTTGAGGTCTAACAAACGTATTGAATCATTTTAATCCTCATAAAGCATTTTCAAAGTCTATTTTTTGTATTGTATTTTCTTACTGTCCTAAAAACTTAACACTCGAAATGCAAATTCATCTGTAGCCAAAAAGCAGTAATTTAGTCTTCTTATTTGTAAAGATTTACATCTTCAGTCGGGATGAATATACTCGGTGGTGAGAGTCACAGACAGGGTCGGCTAACACATTTTTGATCTTTTCGTGGGATTTGTTGACAATAGGTAAAACTATAGAGATACACCAGCGTTACCTTTTAATGTACAGGTCGTACGTGTGGGTTCTGAAAACACGCCAGTGTTTCACGGCCGTTAAACAAAGCGACAGATCGCTGTGCCTCCCAGAGCCGCGGTGACAGATGGCCGAGTATCTGGGAAGCATGCGACACCTGAGCAAACCAATCTCTGACTCGCACCGATGAGGTAGCCATTAGTAACCCTCAAATGTGGTTTACCGACCGTACAGGGTTTGCATTTCCTGCCGTCCCGATCGCAGACCGTGCTGCTCGGGGTTTGGTTGCTGTGGAGACGGGAGGCTGGCAAGGCCGAATCTGAAAGCTTGCACATCATCTGTCCTTTATCTCACTGACTTAATTGTGGATGACATGGTGTGGAGCATGTGGTCGGCTCAGCCGAGGCACTCGGAACTGTAAATGATTTACAGCTCTGAAACAGAAGTCACATAATGGTATCTTCTGATTTACAGTAAATCAGAAGGTGTATTATGTGATTTCTGCTTCAATCTATTCCCATATTGTAGATCTGATAAGATTGTATGGATCCCCAGGGGCAAAAACAAGTTTGCCAATACTTTTATAGTTGGAAAATATCTTGAAACATACCTAAAGTTATATGTGTGGTCTTTAGAAGATGAGGGTTTAGAAGGTTTAGCCTCTAACAGGAACAGCTGGCTGTCTAAAGGTGCATTGAGCAGTGGGTTTACTGTGGGGGCTGGTAATAGACCCATTATATGTGGGAAGGCTCTGCCTCCTTTTTTCTGCTTCATGTGGCTTCATATAATTCTATACTGTCACATTTTATAGATCCTCCAGTTAAAAGATAGGCACAGATACAGCTACAGATTATTTTTGGATCAAACAGTTAGAGGAAAACCTGAGGAGGACTGCCTCCCCTGGGGAGCACCACCGAGAACTACATACGTTATTCAACCATGAACAACGAAGTATAAAGAGCGGCAAACTTTGCATAGCGAGGTGGATAAAACGACAGATATTCGTGTCCAGTGTGTAACCAGAACTCACAACATTGATTTATTTGTCACGTATCTTCCGGAGCTATTTAAACCCAAACCACGATCTTTTCCTAAACCGAAGTACTTAGTAGTTTTGTTGCCTAAACCTAACCAAGGTGTTTCCTGTGATGTAAGAATTTGAAACGTGTTGCTAAACATTCGTAGGAAAACGCACGAAAATTGAGGATTATGTTTTTGTAAGATATGGTACGAACCGTTTTATGAGGATATGTTTCTGTTTTACCCTTTGTGCTAACGTTACTGGCTTAGCCTTTGTGCTACAGGGTTAGCTTGCTGTACGGTGGCTCGCACCCGTTTTTAGGCTCATTGGGTGTGTGCTCATGAACAAGTTAACTTCTGGACTTCGCTGTTCTTCCATTTGTCCGTGTTTTTTGTGTTGTCTGCTGTTTACACAGCTAACGTTTTTTCAAAAGAGGCTGTTGCTTGTGTTGCATCAGCTCATGTGTTCGACCAAATAGGAGCTTAAAAGGTTCCTCAAAACGGCGTTTTAAGAACTATGTTCGTTCCTAGTTCATGAAAATAGGAGTTGTTAGAACTATGTTCATGGAAATATGCTTTCAGATAAATTAATACACACTTAACAATAAATAAACGCTCCACAACAAGAAACATCAGTGGAGTTAAGCATTTGTGTACACATGCCGGTCGGTTTCTAAAGCGCTTTCACTTGACCTGCAGCCTGGAAAGAATCTCGTGAGAGGAATTTGAGAGAAGGAAATCACACCATGTCAGCAGCCATTAAAGATGCCGCCTCATGTTGCAGTGAGGAAGCTGATCCCTCTGCAGCGCTTGTCTCCGTGCAGGAGTTTCTGTGGATTGGTGCGCAGGTGTAAATGTGTATGTATGCGCATGCACTTGACTGTGTGTGGTTGCAAGATGATTCCTAGTGTTCATGGCCAATTCCTAATGTGCACCGCAATCCCTGACTGTGCCATTAGCCAGGAGGGTGAAGACGATCCTGTGCCTCTTCTGATGGACATATATGTCGCGAGCTGCTTCTTTCACCTGATTGGCAGAAGCTGCACCAGGACGACGGACATGAAGGGGCTCATGCAGTTCACTGCAGCCCTCTTGAATCCTAGTGCAGATAGAATTAAAGGAGGCGACTAGTTCTTGAAAAATACACACTCACCACAACGTCCATTGTGTAGGTGTTCTGGAACTTTCAGTCTTGTCACACAACCTTTCTTCCTTTAGATGGTTTGCCTAAAAAAATCTTTTTCTGAGCATTTAAGGCCTTCTCATTCATGTTATCTTAAGGTCAAAAAACTTTTAATCTTCATTTCTATTATTCACTCTAAAAGTAAATATGCATGACTTGAAGATGTAGCCCAGTATCTGCATTCAAACTAGACTGTATCTAAGAAGTGGACATAGCTGTTTGGTTTGTGGACTGTGGTTTTGAAGCCTAGGTCGTCGCCATCTTGCAATTTGGCCGTCGCCATCTTGGCTTTTTGCAACCAGTGAGTGGAAGTGACCATGTTTGGACTGAGGAGGCCGCCGTCAGTCCCGCCCTAAAGCATACCCTGCTTTATGGTCTGTTTGACTCTAAATGGACCATAATGTACTAAATGAACATCATGCTGTATTGAAGAAGACTTGAAACTACAGGTTGAGACCATAAACTCATGTTTACAATGTCAGAAAGCAACAGCCCAATCAGAGATGTGCTCAAAATGAAATATTTCCAAAAGCCATGGATTCAGTCAGAGGCTAGAGACGGCCTGCGTCTTTCAAGCTGCATGTCTGAACTCACTGTGAGACACTTAAAATTAAATTCATGCAGAGGATGTCATCACTCACTGCGTTCCCCATTGCAGAGGCATAGCCTCATCTATCTGTTAAAGTGATGGCTTTTT